TGGCTGCTGCCGCACACGTCAGCCTCCTACACTTCCTTTCAAAGGTCAGGAAACTGGGGTTTTCTCCCCTTTGAGTCCATGTCATTTCTTTCATTGGGCCCAAACTAGCCTTTTCATCAACCAAACAATAGGGCTGCCTTCCAAACTCTCCCATTAGAGCTGCAAAGGGTCCAGAAATACGTAAACCTGGATGGGAAAGGAGCAGATGCAACCCCTGTGTGTGTGTGTGTGTGTGTGTGTGTGTGTGTGTGTGTGTGTGTGTATTATCTCATGTAATAAAACAAAGCTTTCATTGCACACTAAATTATTTTATTGCTTGATTTGTTGATTTCTGATACAATCATCCCATATCACGTATACCCAAGCCTTGATTTCTGCACCCTAGAGAAAGACTTCGCCCTCCCCGAACACAGGTAGATCTCAACTTATGATCACAATTGAGCTGAAAATTTCTGTTGGTCAGTGAGACATGTGTGGAGTGATCCCCCACCATTTAAAAACCTTTCTCGCCACATTTGTTAAGGGAATCCCTATGGTTCTTAAATGAGTAACATGGTTGTTAAGTGACTCTGGCTTGTCAGAAGGTTAGAAAAGGGGATCACGTGACCTCGGGACACTGCGACTGTCATAAATATAAGTTGGTTGCCAAAGATCCAAATTTTGATCTAACATGACCTGTGTCTATTTTAATTATACTGAAACTGCAGGAAACATTTAGAGTTGGTGTTGCATTTAATCGTGCCCAATAAAGAAATTATTTCAGGGAGATGTGAGTCTTGGAGTTCTGATTTGCTTGGGCTCATTCGTTGGAACTTTGACAGGAAGATTGAGTCCTGTGTGTTTTACTCTGCTAGTCGTTGCCAACTATAGGGATGGTGCTCATTTCCATTTCAAAGCCATTGAGCCAGCACCATACAAAGACATTTATGGGGTCATGTGGCCAGCATGACATGCCCCCCTCCCCAACATCTGCTCTGATGGCAATTATGGCTAGAAAAAAATCAGGTGCTCAGGCATGAAAATGTGCCGCTCAAACACTAGACTTTTCCACACACACTGAAACTATTTTTAGAGGGAACATTTTTCTCCATCCCAAGGATAAAACACCCAGACACAAACTGAGGAATATGATATATGCAGTACAATGCAGGGAGACATAGACAGATCTGTAGATTGGAGAAACAAAACAACCACTTCACAAATACATGGCAGAACAAAGGAGAACAAACCCATCCGGACAAAATTCAGCAGTCCATCTGCATTTGAAAGACAAAGGTCACACTTTTGAAGTGAGCAAAGTCCACATTTTGGACAGAGAGGACCACTGGTTCAAAGGAGGGGTCGAAGATTAAGATTGAACAGCCCCAACGCAACAGAGGGGGAGAGATAGCACTCCATCCATCTCCTATTTACAACATGGTTCTTTCAGCTGTTCCAAGAAGGCTCCACACCCATTTGCAATACTAAGGTGACCTCCAAGGGGCCTCAAGCACTCTCTAAAAGAATGCCAGATGATTGCAAGGAATATAAATCCTTCCATCCTCTGCCATTCAGTCAGAACTGAAGAACCTTCTTGGATGAGAAGTGAAACATATTCAAGGAAAAACAAGGTCCAGTTGCCTTTTGAAAAAGCACTTTTGGGACAATGACAAAAAGGGAGAAGGACTCAAGGTGGGTGACCTTGTGGCCTCCATGGCTCTGGAGGGACACCCCCCCCTGGCCTCAGCCTAGTTTAGATGATCTCACAATGGCCCATGTGCGTGATTTTCTTCCTTACCATATCTCATTTTTTTTCAACACAACTAAGATCTTAAGAGCGGGAAGTGGCTTTTTTGCT